CTCTGTGCATGGAAGGTGAGAATTCTACCACTGAGCCACCGCTGTCCCCACAGTATATAGTGATTAGAAGTGAGTGCTTTATTAGACAGCCATGATTTTCTCCCAAAACAATTGTTGTTGTTGTTGTTATGTGCCATCGAGTCGGTTCCGACCCATAGCGACCCTGTATAGGGTTTCCGAGGGTGTAAGTCTTTACGGGAGTAGAAAGCCTCATCTTTCTCCCGCGGAGCAGCTGGTAGTTTCAAACTGCTGACCTTAAGGTTCGCAGCCCGATTCGTAACCACTACGCTACCAGAGCTCCAAACAATTAGGAGAGGAAAATTTTGAGATCGTTGTAGCCGATCTTACCAGTTTCTCAGCCGTATACATTTTGAAATAATTTCTCCAAGAAGATGAGAACAGATTAATTGCTTTTCCTGTTTTTAGATTTATAGACGACCGAGGTCCTAGGCTATCCCATGGCATGTCTGGTATCTGTTTGTTGTTGTTAAGTGCCTTCAAGTCAGTTTTAACTCATAGCAACCCTGTATATGGGTTCCGAGGAGCAGCTGGCAAATTTGAACTGCTGACTTTACGGTTCAAACCGACCTTGCAGTCTAGTACATTATCCCACATTGCCACACAGGCGCCACATCTTTCTCTTCCTGCTTGCGTCTTTAGAATTCTGACTACTTCCATTAAGTCTTAATTTGTGAGCAAACTACTCAGAGAATGATGTAGTGAAAGTAAACCCTTCCACTAGGAGTTCGAACACCCAGCTTCTATGAGGTGAGGAGACGTCCAAAAGGTCATGGAAAGTGGAATGAAAAGAGAATGGAAATTTTCTGTGAACTTTGTGAAGTCCCCTTGAGTGCCTGGTTTGGTCCTAACTCAGCCATCTGACCGAACCTCCAGATAACCTCTCTCCTCAAAGGAATGGTGGAGAAGATAGTGACGGGCTGTTTTCTCTTGTGGATCTGATGAGGGTCAGATGAGCTGTCTCGTGTATTTTGTCAACTATAATAGATCAGGTCATTTGTTTACTTGAGTGTCACTGCACTGTGAACTTGGAAGGCAGGTGCTGGCTAAGACTTTTGAATTCCTTGTCTCTAGTTGTGATTTTCTGTAGAGTTGCTGTTGATGAGTGCTGACAAATCGGTTCTGACTCATAGCAACCCTGTATACAGTTTCCAAGGCTTTTAAAGCTTTGAGGGAGCAGAAAGCTTCATTTTTCTCCTGCAGAATGGCTGGTGGGCTGGAACCGTGGACCTTGTAGTTCACAGTCCAGAGCTACCATAGGGAGACACTGTTCTCCCTTCTGTAGAGTAGGCATTTATTGTAATGTTTGCTAGAGAATTTGATTTAGCAAAAAAAATGATGAAGTAGTACATTTTCTATGAGAAAAATATTTGGTAATACATTTCTACTTAAGTTAAAGATACCTTGTTGTTGTTAAATGCTGTTGAGTAGGCTGTGGCCCTGTCTAGGGTTTCCGAGGAGCAGCTGGTGAGCTTAAACCTCCGGCCTTGCAGTTCAAACAGCATTGCAGTCTGGCGCATTAACCCACAGTGCCACACCAGGACTCCTATGACCTAGTAATTCCACTCCTAGGTGTATACCCAGTGTTGTTGTTGTTATGTGCCGTGGAGTCGGTTCCGACTCATAGCGACCCTGTATAGGGTTTCCAAGGCTATAAATCTTAAAGGGAGCAGAAAGCATCATCTTTCTCCCACAGAACAGCTGGTAGTTTTGAACTGCTGACCGTGAGCTTCGCAGCCCAATTCATAACCACTACGCTACCCAGTGTAGTAGCATAGAAATGCAGTAATCGCTTTACTGAAATTCACAGCACTAGTACTCATAGCAGAAATGAGAAACATCCCAACTGTCTCTCAGCAGCGGGGCAGAGTCATATGTTACAGTATATTAGGACAGTGAAGTTGTACAGCAAAGCAAAAGAGCAAATTGTTGTTCTATGAAACAACAGGAATGACTCTCCCATCGTGCTCAGTGCAAGAGAGCAGTCATAAAAGAATGTACACCGTGCTGTTCCGTTTATATAAGAAACCTTTAAAAGCCGGCCAAATTAATATTTGGGGGTAGAAATACGGAAAGCTGGCACTTGGAATGAGGTGATTGGGAAGAGGCATGGAGAAGACTTTAAAGAATTCTTGATCTGCTGTTACCCACCCCTGCATGTGGTAGTTATATGGGGGTGTATTAACTTTTTGCATACTTCTTTTGGTAAGAATATGATACTTTCATAAAATTTTTTCTTAAGGGAGGATTCTGAATTCCTTTTACTTTTCTGATAAAGACAGTGACCACTGAAGGCAGAACTTGACCAGTCTTGTTCTTCTGTGGGAGATGTGTTTGGCACGTCAGAATCACATCATTCTGTTTTTGTTTTTTCTTTTTGGTTTACCAGAGAAGGGTATTCTAAATCTTTGTATTGTAGAATGTTCATTATTCAGTATTTCACTGTGTAATCTTAAAGGAGAAGGAGCTGTGGAAGCGTAGTGCTTAGGATTCGGGCTGCTAACCTCAAGGTTGGTAGTTCGAAACTACCACCCATTCTGAGGGAGAAAGATAAGGCTTTTGCTCCAACTGCCTTGGATACCCAGTGCCAGGGTCACTGTGAGTCGGAACCGACTCCACGGTACTTAACAACAACAAAAATCTTAAGGAGTCCTGGTGTGATGCTGTGGGTTAATGCGCTGGACTGCAAAGTCGATTTAAACCACAAGGTCAGCAGTTTAATTTCACCAGCTGCTCCCTGGAAATCCTTTATGTGGGGTTGCTATGGATTGTAACCAACTTGACGGCACTTCATGACAAAATCAATCTTAAGGTGCCCTGGTGGCCATAGTGAGCCTTGGGGTGGGAACCACAAAGTTGGCTGTTCAGATCTACCAGTGGCTTCTTGGGAGGAAGATGAAGCTGTCTTCTCCTGTAAGGATGTATAGTCTCGGAAACCTTAAGGAGTTGTCCTACCCTGCTCCGTAGGGTCAGTATGCATCAGAATCAACTCTGGAGTTCTGGGGTGTTGCTGCAGGTTAATGCGCTAGACTGCAAGGTTGGTTTGAACTGCGAGGTCGGCAGTTCAAGCTTACCAGCCACTCCTTGGGAACCTTACCACAGGGTTGCTATGAATTGAGACCAACTTACAGCGATCCTGTATAGGGTTTCGAAGAGTAACTGGCAGGTTTGAACTACTGACCTTGTGGTTAGCAGTTCAATGATTATCTTGCAGTTCCACACTTGATGATTACAAAGGGAAATAAACTGCTGGTTTAGTAAAATAAAGTGTGGATAGACAATTCACATAAAGAGATACAAAGTTAGTAAACAAGATGGAAAACGTTTTTTAGTGAAAATTTCAGATTTGACCCACATCAGCATACCATTTTATATATGTGAATGTTACAACTATGTTACAGGAGAACAGCCCTTAGTGGTGATTATGTGAAATAATGTGGTGGTTTAACCCTTTTTTTGGGAAGAAAGGTAGGTCCAGGTCCGTGCCTCAAGGCTGTGTTATTTGACCTCATAATTTCACTCCTTGGAGTATATTCAAAAGAAATAGTTCCAGAAAACAAAACATGTTTGCCCACTGATATTTCTTTTTTTTCCCCACTGATATTTCTTATCTTGTTGTCTGTGTTGTTACCTGCCGACTGAGCCGAGTCCGACTCATAGTGACCCTCTATATGGTTTCTGAGGCTGTAAATCTCTGTGGGAGTAAGAATCCTCTTTTTACTAGTGAACTCGAACCAATAACCTTGGAGTTTGCAGTCCAGTGCTTTTCCTACAGAGTCACTGCACTCCCAGTTAGGTATAAAGTAAGTGTTCAATGGGGAAGAGTGTAGTAGATTTAGTGACAACAGCAAGCTCTGACTGATAGGTACCCATTTATATTGTTAGGAAGCCTATCCTTAGAGAGAACGATTTGCTACTGTAAATTAACAATAGATGCTAAAATGGTAGGTATGCTGATGGTGGTGGTGCTGGTGTGTCTATGAGTCGGAACCCACTCTGTATAGGGTTTCCGTGGCTATAAATCTTTATGGGAGCAGAAAGCCTCATCTGTCTCCCGTGGAGTGACTGATAATGATTACCACTATGTAAAAATATATGAAAACTATCTATAGGTACATAGAGTTCTGCTTTTATGATTGTGAGATTTTAATTTTTAATAGCTATGTATATTTTTTACAGTTTCTAATCCATTAAAAGTAGTGTAGTTACCAATTTTTGATGAGTTACACATTTTCCCATTAGTGCTACTTACTTTGTTCCATTCATTACGTTTATGGATTCTGTGGTAAGAGTATGCTTAGCTTTATAAGACACTGCCATACTCTTTTCCAAACTGTCTGTACAATTTGGCATTGCTACCAGTTAATAAATTCAGGTTTATGCTGCTGAATATCCATGCAGCATTTGTATCTTTTGGATACTAATTACTTTTCAGTTGTGTATTTTGCACATATTTTTCCCCACTTGTCTTTAAATGTATTTTGCAGGGCAGAAGTATTTAATTTTAGTCAAGTTCTCCAGGACACTTAACAACAGCAGCAGCAGTGTATTGATTTTATTGTTATAGCTCGTGCTGTTGGTGTTATATCTAAAAACCAAGACGGCCTAGATTTTCTCTTGTGTGGGATCTAGAAGTTATCTAATTTTGCATTTATATTAGTTCTGTGATCTGTTTTGAGTTCATTTTAGTGGAAGGTGTAAGCTTTGTTTCTATATTTTTTGACAAGTAGCTGTCTTGTGTAGCAGATTCACTTTTCATTTGCATGATTTCACAGCAAAATAGTGTTTAAAAAATACTGGCTCAGTCAGTGTGTACTGACTGAGAACAGTACCTGTGTGGTTTCCCACAGCTAGTTTAGGGGTGCTGCCTGAAGATGGAGAGGACACGTTTGTTGGAGGATGACTGGATCCGTGCTATCAAGTCTGGGTTTCAGAACGTTTGCTGGAGAGACTCATCTTCATGTATCTTCTTTTCTTGACAGGGAGGCCAAATTTTGAGGAAGGTGGACCGACATCAGTGGGGAGAAAGCATGAGTTTATACGATCAGAAAGTGAAAATTGGCGTATCTTTAGGGAGGAACAAAATGGAGAAGATGAAGATGGAGGTTGGCGACTAGCTGGATCAAGAAGGGATGGAGAGAGGTGGAGGCCTCACAGTCCTGGTAAGAACTTAGAGCATGAAGGGATGGAACCAAATGAGGGCTTATTTGGTAGGAAATGGAGCGAGATGCAGTGGAAAAGATCAATTGTGTGTATGTCATAGTAATTATCTTATTCAGTCTTATTATTAACCAAAAATCTAAATGTAAAAAATCCCTACCACGTTTATTCACTTGATAAAAATCATGTTTCTTGGGTTCTTTGGGGTCAAGTAGTTTGGTTTTTATTGGAAAGCTGCTCATGTGAGAGGGCTTCACTTGATTTCCTCTAAGACTTGGTCTCATTCTAAATCTCAGGATCTTTGTTTCAATATTGTTTTAAAATTTAGGTTTAATTATATGCCTACTTAGGAATATGTGTCTTCCCCACCCCACCTTTATGATAGCGTTCCTGCATAAGAAAGGATTTATTCTTTCATTTTTTTTTCTTCCCTTAAAGATGTGATTTATTATTTGAAGTATCAGCTTTAAACCCAGGTCAAAAACATAATCACAAGCTTGTTTATTTTTGTGTCCCTCTAACTTTAGAAAAAGGGGAGAGAATAGTAATGATTAGTGGTTTTTAAAGTTCTTCTGTTTGACTCTTAAGAATGCTTCTAACTGTTCCTCTCTGACACGAGCAGACGGTGGTAATTGAAGACACTGGTGCTTTGTGTTCATCCCCTACCAAAGTGCTGGGTCCAGGCCTCATGATAATCAGATGCAACTGTAGTGCAGAGTCACAGGGTCATATTCAGAGAGCATGTCTTTGCTGTGCACATCTCGAATATGTATAACGATATTCTCTGTCTCTTAACCATGTGCCAAGGAAGCTTTACCTTAATAAGCTTAATACAGCATTGATAACAATGCTGTATAACAAAATAATGGAAAAACTTTGCTTAAATTACTAGCGGAACTGTTGGTGTAAGCCTAAGGAGATACTTTACCAGACACACGAGCGTTGTCTGGGTGGGTAGGTGTGGGATAGTTGTTACCCCTTGGGCAGAGTTAATGAGCCTTTCACACCAGCTCCTTAGGGCTGCCTCTTGGGTGCGTTTTCTGTCATCAGCAATCATTGTTGACATCACAGGGTCCAGGTAGTTCTGATCCGTCTGTGCCCGGGGCAACCGAGTGTTACACTTTTCTTCAGGGCATCTGGGTAGTTTGTGCTGAGCTTGCTTGGAAGCAGAGGCCTTGTAGACTATGTTCCTAACAAGCATTCAGTGAAAGAATGGACAAGGTCTGGGCTGAGAGAGAAGAAAAATTCCAGCTGATGAAAAACAAACAAGGTGAATGTTTTGGAAGATGAATAGTGTTTCTGGGCCCAAATGTCTGATGTTGATTCTATTAAAGGGAGTTAAACAGTCAATTTATTGTTATTCTCTACCACCACCTCCCTGCCTGGCAGCTTAGATTTTGGGGAAGATGGGCCTTTTCTTATCTTCTCTAATCCTTCTGCCTCCTTAATATTTAACTTTTATGTTTATTGTATTTGCCGTCACTTGAGCAGTTTTCCAAGCATCTTTGAGATTCATTCTTTTAAGATACTTTGGGGGATGAAGGAATTTTTGAGGCTTAAAAAAGACATAAGTGCCATTTTAAGAAAGAATATCTTGTGTTACTTTTCTAGTGGCGCTGTGGGATAAAGCACCCGACTGCAAGGTCAATTTGAGCCACAAGGTCTGTGGTTCAAACTCACCAGCCACTCCTTTGAAACCTTATACAGGGTCGCTATGAATCGGAACTGACTCAGTGACATTTAACAACAGCAACTTTTCAATATAGCATGTTGGAAGTTTAGCTTGATTATAAATTTTATAAGTGAACTTTTAGTATTTCTTATACTGTAAGCCTGCTGCCATTGAATCAATATCAACTCATAGAGATCTAATACTGTTTCCAAAACACACAGCTGGTGTGTTTGAACCACTGACCTTTCAGTTAGCAGCCGAGTGCTTAGCCTCTGTGCCACAAGGACTCCTTTCTTATTGTTGTTAATTTTGTATTAGAATGTGAGTAAAATTGTAAATGGAGTGATTTTTAACTGACTTGATGATACGACCTATTTCCTTGAGCTCTAGTGCAGAGTCTGTATACCAGTGGTCCACCCACCCCAGCAAGCGACATTTCTTAACTCTTGGTGAGACAGCAGCAAAGTTAGGAACAGTCACTTTGTTATAGCAGGGTTCTCAGCTGGGTGTGTTGGAGGGTTGGGTGTTGGAAGGCCCGCTCAGCAGCCACTCTGGGAGAGGTGAACTTGGGGACTCAGAGAGCAGCAGCCCCTTGCCAGATGCCTAGAAGGAAGATTCCTATCGTGGCGCATACGCACAGAAGGAGCGCTCAGGAATTCACCATTCAACCACGAGTGCTCCTTTGGAGCAGTGGCTCTGGGTTTACATTGAAGCATTCTGGTTACAACATTCCTGGTTCCACAGAAGGGAGTCTAGGGGACTCGTTTGGTCTGTGTTGAAAATGGGGTTTCTTTCACTGACCTTTTTGAAGGTGGCTTCTAAGGTGCCACTTGTAATGGGCAGTTTATATTCCTTCCAATTCTCAGTTTGATTTTTAAATTGCTGCTTTTGGTGAATTGGGCCTTGAATTTGGCCTCCTTTGTTTTGTGTACCTCCCTCAGAGAAAACAGGCAAGGATAGAGAATTCTAATAGTTTAAAACCTGGCTCTCTCTTTTAGAACCAGGCAGCCTGATTTCAACAATAGGTTCCTTCTAAAAATACCTTAACTAGTATCTTTCATTATTCTGCTGTCGTTTCCTGTTGGACAGTAGATGCAATAAAGGTCGTGCTAGGGTGGACTTAGGCATGTCCCGGGGATCATATAGGAAAATAAAAACTTCCCAGGGAGAATTAAGAGATGAAAGGAAGAGAAAGGAGAACCAGCATGGACTGTGAAAAATGTGGTTGAAGATGTAGAAATGGATTCTACTTCTGATTTGCCAGCAGTTATTATCGGGCTGCAAACCTTAAGGTCAGCAGTTTGAAACTAGCAGCTGTCCCGCAGGAGAAAGATGAGGCTTTCTGCTCCCGTAAACATTTATAGTCTCAAAAACCCTGTACAGGGTCGCTGTGAGTCGGAACCAACTCCACGGCACATCACCACCACCACCATATTACCTCAGCTGTCAGGGTATTTGTTTCTTCTTCAACTGTAGTTACGGTAATACACTATCTTATAGACAACACCTTCCTGCCCTCAAACCCAGCAACTACCTTCTTGTTGGGTGGGAATCGGGATCACGCATGGGAATTAACACTAGCAAATGAGCCCAATGAGTTTGTTATGAAACATTGATGCATTGATGCAGGGAGCTGGTTTGATCCATAAAGAATGTGAATGCTCTAAGAGTTGTCAAAAGGAAAGCCTGACTTGCTTACTGAAGGAGCTAGCTGCGCCTAAGCCGGCGGGGCGGGGCGGGGCGAGGGCTATCTGAGAGGCTCATCTATATTTTAGTCAGGTGCCCAAAGCTTTTTAAAGTACATGTTGTTGTTGTGAAGTGTGAGTTGGTTCTGACCCATAGTGACCCTGTGTAGGGTTCCCAAGGAGCATGAACCACCGACCTTGCCATTCAAACGGTTTTGCAGTCTCATGCATTAACCCACAGCACCACACCAGGACTCCTTTTAAAGTACATACTTGGCGTAAAATGTCCTTTAAAAATGTTTTAAAGTTGTAAACTTTACCCTATGGTTCAGTCCTCGATGAAAGTAAGAACCATTGGCATTTAGTGATGTGTCTAAGGAGACCTCAAAAAGGTTTGTGGAAAATGGAATGAAAAGATAATGGAATTTTCCACACTTTCTGAAGCCTCCATTGTTTGTATATACTCTGAACTTGATTGAATTTACCTACTTTGGATAAGTTAGTAAGTTGATCCATTGACTTTGCTGGCAGTTGTGGTTTTCTCCTTTAGTTCCTACCCATGGTTTTCTCTTTCAAGAACTAGCATAAGGCTCTGCTAAGGTTTGTGTCCTCCACCTCATCCCAGATGGCCCTCGTTCTGCAGGCTGGCGAGAACACATGGAACGGCGGCGAAGGTTTGAATTTGACTTTCGAGATCGGGTTGACGAACGGGGTTATCGAAGAGTGCGTTCTGGCAGCGGGAGCATAGATGATGACAGGGACAGCCTGCCCGAGTGGTGCTTAGAGGATGCGGAAGAAGAAATGGGCACATTTGACTCATCAGGAGCATTCCTCTCTCTCAAGGTGAGAGATTTGTTGTCAGTGTTTTGACCCAGGTGCCAGCCTTCTCCCAGAGCCAGCTGTGCCATTGACCTTGGCTTTTGTTCTTTTGGTATAGAAAGTACAGAAAGAGCCGATTCTGGAAGAGCAGGAGATGGACTTCCGGCCAGTGGAGGAAGGAGAAGAGTGCTCTGACTCAGAGGGTAGCTATAGCGAAGAAGCCAAAGAGCCTGATAAGACAAATAAGAAAGAAGGCGAGAAACTCGTAGACAGAGTGGGAGTTGGTAAGGCCCATTTCTGCCTTTTACCTTTTTTTTTCTTTTTAAATCAAACTGAACTTTCCTAAATTGTTAAATCAAGATTACTTTGTGTTACAGAAGTTAGTGAAGAAACCCCCCAAGCCTCTTCCTCATGTGCTAGACCAGGTACTCCTTCAGACCACCAGCCTCAGGAAATGGTGCAGTTGGAGAGGAAAGAGGAACCTAAAATTGAGCAAACGGAAAAAGCAGAGGAGGAAAGTCGGACAGAAAATAGTTTACCAACCAAAGTGCCCAACAGAGGGGACGGTATGTATTTGTGGGAGCAGACCAGCTAAAATGGGGTTCTCCTAAGACAGTGACCACTGATAGACCTAGGCTTCCATTGACACCTTCTGGAAGTGCTTCTTGTGGGAGCTGTTAAAGTTGATTGTTTGACCAGTTAGCATAGCTAATCATTCCCACAGGTAATATGTATCCGCCCTGGAATTCACCCAAGCACAGTTAGGCTGCAGGGACAGAGAGAAGCTCACCCCCCAGGACCTTACCACAGAACCAAACTGCATCAGTCCACGGCTTCATGAATCTCAATTCATGTCAGACAGTTAACCTCCGGTTTGAGTACCCAGCCTAAGTTACCAGGTGAAACCTCAAAATACCACTGTTTGGATAGGCGCAGAAAAGAGAATGTGTCAGGTTTTCATGCAAATCCATCTCTTATTAGAGAAGAAACTGAAAGCATATCTACTTTGTGCACTAAAAATAGCCTTGTTAATGATTTTTGGCTAATGTGACTGGGTTGAAGTATAAATTGATCATACATTGCCATGGTTTCTCTTCCTCCATCTGAAATAGAACATTGTAATATCTGAGGTTAAAGGGTTAATTCTGTGATTTAGTCATACAAATTCACATCTTTCGCTGGCCCGCGAGACCCTGACTGATTGGAGTTGTACTCCCTTCTGCAACTTCTGCACTGGCCTCTGTCTCCTTCCAAGTCCATTCACCAGCCTTCCCCAGTCTTCCAGGCCCTGAAATATACTATTCACTTGCCTCCACTTCCTAGCCTCGACTTTTTAATGCCTGAGCCTTCCTCCCATCCCAAAGCCCCAAGTGTTTCCTGACCGCTCGGCACAATTCCTAGCACAAATCATTATATTTCAGAGATTCATTTAGTGTCTTTGCCCAAAAAACATTTTGAGCTTTTTTTGTTCGTTTGTTTGTTTTAAGTGTCTGCAACATAGCAGGATAAATGAATTTAGCAAGGATTTGAATCTTTACTATGTATCTCTGACATTGTGGAAACCCATTTTGTATGTAGTTGATAGTGGTTTTTTAGCTGTGCTGTGCCCTAGAATTACTTGTATTGCGTCCCTTTTGCTGTGTACATACTTGGGCCTTATAGTGGAATATTTTAGGATGGAATTCAGACATATGTATTTTTAAAAAGCTTCTGAAATTAGTCTGTGGGTGACATAGAAGCCTGTATATATTGATAAGCCAGGGCAAAAAGAAATGGTATGAGTTCCTATTGGCCAACTTCAGGAAGCAGGTGGTGTTTGAATAATAAATACAATCTGGAGATAGGCAAGAGAATTGATCCGGAGAGGGCATCCCGGGACTAGTGAACGGTGAAAGCAGAGGCGAGGAGGAGGCGGCAGGACTGCTCCAGGCACGGGCCAGACTCGGCATAGATTCTTATTGAGATGGACTGTGAGGAGAAGAATGGTGGGAAAGACGGCTGGAACGTGGATTGGGCAACTACTTGTGGTGCAGCTTGTGCTGACAGATGGGCTGCCTCATGGGGGTACTGCACCTGTAAGGGAGAGAATGGCAAAGAAGAGGACAGAGTTGAAGGTGACGGAGAAGCTTGGGAATAGGGTGATCCTGTAAATGGGGAGACACATTTACAACAGGGAGAGACCTCTAGACTCAGTTTGAAAATTGACTTTGAGGAACCAGTGAGAAGACATGTAGAAAGCGCTAGAACGCAACTGTGAACGAGGGACTTTAGCTAGACTGGAAGAATGTAGGGCCAAAGAGAGAATGAAGATTTAAAAGAAAATGCATTTGTTCATTGGCTACCAAAATGAAGGGATGATAAAGGCACGCAGTGACTGCCTAACAAGGTTTCAAGAGGGAGTTTAGTTTAAGAGTGTGTGGGGGAAGAAAGAGTCCCCAATGAATAATTTTCATCTTGTCTAGATGGGTCTGGATAAAAGAGAAGGGGAAAAGATTCTTATGATTCAATTATAAGTAATTGTTATCATGACTTATTGCAACTGTCACAGTTGTAAAGGTAGACATTTTGTATTAAAAACAGGGGAGTAAATTAATCTTACAGTCCAGAAACATCATCAAGGGAGAAGAGCACAAGCGGAATGTGAGACCTTATCCAGAGAAGCAGCAACACCAGAGATGGAGGCAGAGATGGGGACATGGAGAGAGGGAGCAGCTGAGGACTCTAGATTCATGGGAAGAGAAAGACTGTGTGCTGGTAGCAAGGAGGCAGACTTGCAGAATGTACCCTTTGGTAGTGTAAATTATTATATGTGCCTGACTGTTTAAAAAAAAAAAAGCTAAAACGAATAGAGAGAAATACTGTTAACTGATGGTACACGGAGGGGCTTAATAATCATTGTAATGAAACAAGGTGTATGATTTGTTGAATATAAAACTGATGCTCTTCCCTGTAAACTTTCACTCAATTTACAATAAAAACTTGGAAAAAAAAAAAAAAAGACAAGTAGGTTGGGAACAGAATCACAAGTCCTTTCTGTTATGTGTGAGAGGGTGGGCAGAGGAGGAGGGGTCCTGGATAACACTGTACTGGTAGTTGCAAGATCAATGATTCAAACCCACCCGCTGCTCCTTGGAACACTATACTGGCTCACTGTGAATCGGACTGACTCAGCGACACTTTACAACAAAGAAAGAGAGCTGGAGAAAATTCTTCAGAGGCAAAAGGGGAGATAGGAGAGTTGGAGTGCAAGGAAAGTTTGAGCAGGGCATGGGACTGATAGTGTTCAATTCACTAATGGATCAGACAAGGAGGACTAAAAATCACAGTGCAATCTGGTTGATTCTGACTCGGTGACCTACAGGACAGAGTAGAACTGCTCCATAGGGCTTCCAAGGCTGTAATAGTTACACATAGAGAGACAGCCTCATCTTCTCTTAAGTAGCATCTGGTGGATTTTAACCTTTAGACTTGTTGTTAGCAGTCCAATATTTAACCCTCTGTGCCACCAGCACTCCTTAGGACCTCACATAACCATTGCTTCTCTTGATGTGAGAAACCTTACTGGAGAGGGAGGAGTGGAGGTCAGATTTTAGCAGGTGTGGGTGGTGGTGAAGCTGAGACAGCATGTATTCAGTGTCCTTTTAAGAAGTTTGGCAAAGAAGGGAGAGAGTGAGGCGCAGGAATGCAGAGAAGCTCTCGCTCATTGAACAAACAAGGTTTCGAAGGGGAAACTGCAGTTGTATCTAATTACTTCCATCCCTTTCCTTCTCAAACGCCAGCTCAGTTAGAGGTTAGTAATAGGAACCTCTCTTTACCCTGATTGAGAAGTATGTCCTGCACTTGATAAGTAGACTACCCGTGCTCCTTGCTAGCCTAAGAACTGGTAATCCATCGAGTGATAGGGATTATGATGTGAAATAGGCACTTATTCAAGATAGATTTTTATGAAAGGTTTTCATGATGTAGTAAGTGAGAAGATTGGGGGTACTTTATTGTCTTTTGCTCTTTGGAGCCCTAGTGTAAGATTCTGCTCGGTTTCAAGGAGTAGACCTATAGTCCTTAGGGCAATGCTGTAGACACACAGGTAGCCAGTGTAGAAAGACATAGGTCCCTTTACCCCTTCTCACCTGCCACACTCTGGATAAATTCTGTTGTTTTAGGGAGAAATGTGGTGGCGACTTCTCTTAACAAGTCACTGCCATGCTGCTGGCAGTTCCCAGTTCCCTGGGCCCAGTTAGCAAGCTGTCCAACTTGAGTTACAGGGAGAGGCTTGCCCTTCCTAAGAGTCTCCGCACTTGCCTTTCTTTCAAAGGATTTTCATCTGTCTACATTTTTTTCCTCTAGAAATGGTTCCTGATGTTCACCAGCCCCTGTCACAGATTCCTTCAGATACAACCTCTCCTCTTCTCATACTTCCACCTCCTGTTCCCAATCCTAGCCCTGCCCTCCGGCCAGTTGAAACGCCGGTCGTCGGTGCTCCTGGTATGGGCAGTGTTCCCACAGAGCCAGACGATGAAGAGGGTCTCAAACATTTGGAGCAGGTAAACATAATGCTGTTCTCAAAGTGACATACAATTTAGAATGCATTAAATGAATATTCTAAAGTAGAATTTTGGTGTACTACATTTTCAGTACTGGAAAAGTTGATTGTGTGTCTAGTATTTATTTGGGTAATTGTCTTTCAAATCATTTCATGCTTCTAAGTTTCTGCTATGTAATAGTCATTATGTCAGGGTATTGTTTGCTCTGCTGAGGTTGCCCTTAGCTGTTTGCTTTTGTCTTTGGAAATTAATGGAATGCCAGAAATGGCGAACACAAGCAGCTGCAGACGGGCACTGTGTCTTCTGTAGCTTTTGCCTCAAGTATAATAGGGAAAATAGTTCATTAATCACTCAGGATATTAACCTTTTACTCAATTCTCTAAATTTCTCAAAGATTGTGTATACTGTTAGGTATAATGGGAGTGTTAGCTTTCACTTTCCTTGGGCTAGGCTAGGGAGTGACAGGGACTGCTGATGACGGGGCAGTGTACGTAGTATGTTACTAAGACTCGTCAAAGAGTTTATTTGTAATTACATGAGGGGTTTCAAAAAGTTTGTGGGAAAATGCCATTATCTGTGATGTCCATTTTCCTACAAACTATTTGAACCCCTCTCATATTGAGTGAGCCGTTTGTTCTGTTAACATCTGTGCTCTTAGATGTCTAGTTACTGCACTGTAAAATTGATCAATGACTTGCTAGTTTTCAAAGTACACATAGTGTGTTGATTAGAAGCCAGGGCTTTGATTCAGTCTCAGTTCAGTTTACTTAAAAATTTTGAGACTTTAGGTAAGACTTGACCTCTCTGACCCTTGGTTTTCCCGCTGTCAAATGGTGATAGTATCTATCTCGTGGTATGGTTGGGAGAATTAATTATTGCTTGCTCTGTTCCTTGCATAGTGCTTCTCACGTACCAAGTAACTGTTTAAAAAAAGGTAGACATTATTACATGCATAAGCATTAATATAAGATTGTTTCCTCAGTTTATTTTTTTTGTGTGTCTACTATTAGCAAGCCGAGAAGATGGTGGCTTATCTCCAAGACAGTCCACTAGATGATGAAAGACTGGCATCTAAACTGCAAGAACACAGAGCAAAAGGAGTCTCGATTCCATTAATACATGAAGCACTGCAGAAGTGGTATTATAAAGATCCCCAAGGAGAGATTCAGGGTGCGTTTTACTTTAAATACAAACGTGTCTGCAGTTACCTCCTGAGTCTGTAAGATTAGGGTTTGTTTAATGTTAGCTCGCATAACAGTAGAAAAAGAGGTCAGTGCTATTTATATTCTTTATATATGTATTGATGATGGTTATGTGCCGTGGAGTAGGTTCTAACTCATAGCGACCTTATATAGGGTTTCCGAACCTGTAAATCTTTACAGGAGCAGAAAGTGTCATCTTTCTGTTACTAAGTGGCTGGGAGATTCGAACTGCTGACTTTGCGGATAGCAGCCCACCTTGTGATCCACTACGCTACTATAGCTTCTTAAATATATTAGAAGACATTTTATAGGCTTTCTCCATAATTTTTGATTTTTACTGAAGGGGAGGAAAGTTCAATGAAAATAATTTGAAACATAGAAGAATGTGATGACTAATAAGCTAGAGAGGTATCCAATGCTTCAGGCCCTTCAGCCCTCACCGCTGGTTCTCTAGTCAGCTAAGTTTTGTATGCTTAGAGTTGTTGGGAGTATTCGCTTCTCCGTTTGAGGTTTGCAGGATCTGGTGGTGGTGGTGGTGGTGAGTCCTAATTTCACTCCTAACATTGGTCATTTGTGTCCTTTATTTTTCTTTGTCAGTCTGGCTATTTGTTACTTTACTGGTCTTTCTAAGAATCATGTGTTTCAATCTCATTGGTTTCTGCTCTTTGTAAGTTTTTCCCCTTTTGTTTGCTTAGTCTATATTTTACTCTTTTTCTGGGCGCTTACATTATTTGTTTGAGACATTTCCTCTTTTTTTTTTTCAATTTAATTTTTTTTGTTTGTTCTATTATCTTGTTGTTGTTGTTGTTGTTGTTGTTAAGTGCTGTCGAGTCGGTTCTGACCCATAACGACCCTGTACAGGGTTTCCGAGGGTGTAAATCTTTACGGGAGTAGAAAGCCTCATCTTTCTCCCATGAAGTGGCTGGTAGTTTCGAACCACTGACCTTCAGGTTCGCAGCCCGATTCGTAATCACTACGCTACCAGAGCTCCTTTCTATTACTTTGTAGCTTTTAAACAGTTTCCATGTATTTGAGCTTATTATTTCCTTGATCTTCCTATGACTGATTTCTAATTTTGTAGCATTGTGAGCTGAGAAGATGCTTCGTAGTATATTGATGTTTTTTAATTTATCTCTGCTTTCTGGCCTAACACGTTGGCTTTTCTTGAGAATGTGTATTGTGCTGTTGTGAGGTGAATGCTCTCTATAGATCTATGAAATGAAGTTGGATGTGCTGTTTAATTCCTATGTGTCTTTGTTGAGTTTCTTTCTGGTTGTTCTGTCCTTTTTCCAAAGTGTTTTTTATTAAAATCGCCCATTATTATTGTCAAATTGTTTTATTGCTTTCTTCAGTTCTGTTAGAGTTTGATGTATATATTCTGAGGCTCTTTCATTGGGGTTGTAGATATTTCTATGGTTATGTCCTCTTGTCTAGTTGGCCCTTTAATCATGAGATAATTTCCTTCTTTGTCTCTTATGCTGGTTTTTGCTTTAAAGTTGATTTGATCAGAGATTATTGTTGCTACTCGTGGTTTTTTATTACAATTAGCCTGATGTAGTTTTTCCATCCTTTAATTTTTAATCTGTTTTTGTCTGTTTGTAAGGTGTGTCTCTTGTAGACAGCATATTGAAGGGTCCTGTTTTCTTAACTATCTGTCTCTTGACTGAGACATTCAAACCATTGACGTCAGTGTAATTGTCCATAGGTATGAATTGATTGCAGTCATTTTGCTTTTTGTTTGTTGTTTTTATGGTGCTGCTGGTTTCCTTGTTCTGCACTCTTTCCTGTGCCAAGTTCCTTTTTCTTGTCAATTTCTTCATGGTTTTAATATTGATAAAATCTTCATGGACTTTCCTTTTCTTGATTTGATATGTGATATATTAAGCTTCTTTGAGATTGCCCTGTACTTTATTCATTTCTTCCCCTTTTAAAACAGTTTGTTTTATCTTGAAATTGCCCTGACCGCCTCACCACCTGGAACTCTGTAACTATATTTTTCCCTTCCTTCACTTTATACTTGTCCCGATCATAGACTAACAAATCAGATTCCCTTTTTTCAGTCTTGTAGTTTTCTTCTACTCTGGACACTTCCATAATTGGACTGAATTCCACGTTGTGTTGCCATGTCTGTCTGTCTCTGGTTGGTGTCTGCTCCAAAGAACTCCTTTAGTGTATTTTTTTATTATAGACTTGGCTTTTATAAAGTCCTTTAATTTTTTTTATCCTGAAGTGTTCTAATTTTGCCATCATATTTAATGGACAGCTTTGCTGGGTATATGATTCTTGGTTAGCAGTTTTTTTCTTTCAGAGTTTTGTATGTTTCCCCATTGCCTTCTTGCAGGTGTAGTTTCTGCTGATAAAAGCAAAGCTTAATCTTACTGGGTTTTCCTTTGTTAGGTAACAGTTGGTTTTCCAGGGCTGCTTTCAGGATTCTTTTGGAGAGCTTGATTATATGTCTCGGTGATTTTCCTTTGGGGTCTATCCTGCCTGGGGTTCGTACAGCTTCTTGAATATTTATCTTCTCGTCTTTCCTGATGCTAGGAAAAGTTTCTTCCATCAGCTCTTCGTCTGTCTTTTCTGTGGTTTTATTTGTATCTTCCTGTGGTAGAATTCCAATCACCTATAGATTATTCCTCTTCATGTTGTCCAACATGAATCTTAGGCTTTCATCAGATTTTAAAATTCTTTCTTCTGTCTTAGCAGAGTTGAGAGATTTATCTTCAGACTTTGCTAATTCTGGCCTCCATTGATTCAGTTCTTCTCCTTTGTCCTTATTGATCATCTGGACCTCTGTTTGCAGGTGCTGGATTGTCTTCAATGCTGTATCTGTTTTGCTTGATTGTTCTTGTAGAACTTTTCTGAATTCTTGTTTTCCTCAACCTTTCTGTAGAACATTTGGAAGTACCTCAGTATCATTCTGATTTTTTTCTTTTTTCTTTCTTTTTTTGGGGTAGTTCCAGTGCCCTCTTTTTCTTCAAAAACATTTTTCTGACTCTTCTTCTTGGTCTTTCGTTTGAGCTACTCTGTCTTGTTTCTGTGTGTGAGCAGAAATTTTCTGCTGGCTTTTAGGCTTTGTGTTTTTGTAATTGTATTAAGTTGATGAATATATGTTGGTGTATTCCTAGGCACTTACCTCCTGGTGGGTGTGACCTTTTCACTGTTCACTGTTAGTAAAGTTCAATTAGAGTGGATTTGGCGAATGTTGGTTGTAGTTGTTTCTCTGGTGTATAGCAGCTGGTATTGGCTCTTGCCCAGTTGGTGGGGGTTTAGGGAGTGCAATTGTAGCTTGGCTGTATGGTCACAGTTTCTGTCTCCTGTGGGGTGAGGCAAGAAAAGAAAACTCTCCCACAGGATAGAAGGAGGACCAAGAAACAAAACTTTGTCTCTGCAAGTCGTAGGCAGACTCGTGCAGTGGGAATACTCTCTCGTCTCTTAATCAGCTCACTTCTTTATCTCTCTCTTTTTTTTTTAATTTAAGCATTTAATACTATAAATTTCTCTCTTAGCACTGCTTTGGCTGTATTCCATACTATTTGATACATTGTATTTATATTTTCATTCTGTGTGTATGTATTTTAAGTTTTAGAAAAACTTCCACTTGTAACCATTATTTAGAAGTGTGTTGTGTAGTTTTCAGAGCATTTGGAGATTTACCAATTATCTGTGTTATTCTAGTTTAATTTCTTATAGCTGCAGAACACGGCCATTATGATTTCAATTTAAAAAACTATGTTTTTTTTCTTTTGTGACCTAGAATATGGTTGGTCTGTTTTAGGCATAAGTTCTGTGGACATATGACTATGTACGCGCACACCCCACATATGAACATGATGTATATTGCTGCTGTTGGAGTGTGCTGTAGATGCTGATTTGATCATGGTGGTTGTTGATCTTCAGTTCTTTACCCTTGCTTATTTTCTGTCTGGTTGTTTTCAGTTACTGAGAGAAGGTTAGAGAGGGATGTTGGAAGTGTCCAGCTATTACTTGTGGACTTGCTAATTTCTCAGGTCTATCAGTTTTCTCTTCACATGGTTTGCAGTTCCATTGCTTGTGTGTACACATTTAGAATTGTGGATTGACCCTTTTTTTCATTGTATGGTGTCTTTTTGACTCTGGTAATTTTATTTTCTCAGAAATTGACTTGTCTGATGTTAATGTAGCCACTCTTGCTTTCCTTTGTCTAATGCTTACTTGAGCAATAGCTTTGTCTTTTCACTTTAAACCGTCTACATTGTTACATTTGAAATAAGCATCTTATAGCTAGCAGGTAGTTGTGTAATAATTTTGAATCCACGCTGTCCGTCTGTCTGACTTATAATTGGTGTATTTAGACCATTCACATTTGGTGTAATTACTGCTATTAGGGTTTAAGCCTGCCATTTTGTTTTCGTTTTTAAAATTAATTAATTTATTTTTAATGTTTCCCATTTCTCTGCTTTCTTTTTTTGCCTGCCTGTGGATACTTAAATAATTTTTAGGATTCCGTTTTGATTTTTTCTGTACAGGTTTTGAATGTATCTCTCTTTATAGCTGTTTTAATAGTTGTTGTAAGTATTGCATAGCTTCTCACAGTTCATCAATGGTAGCATTTTCCGTTTCTTTGCATCCTGCTCTAGTATAGTCTTGTTTAGGTGTTTCCTCTACGTCTGTGTAGAATCACATTAGTGTTAGAAGTTTGCTTACTTGCCAAACATAATTCAGGAAACTCAATAGGAAAAGACAGACTATTGCATTTACTAACTGATAGCTTTAGCACATTCTTCCTTCTTGATGTTACACGGTTCCTTCTTTTATCGTTTCCTATGTGTTTAGAGAACTTCCTCTGGCCTTTCTTTTAGGGTAGATCTGCTGGCAACAGATTTTGCTAGTTTTTCTTTATATGATACTGTCTTGGTTTCCATTCATTACTGAGGGATAGCTTTGTTGAATATAGGATTCTGGGTTGAAAGTTCTTGATTGTCCTACCTGCACCATACATAGTGTACCGCTTCTTTCTGTGGAGCCGAGGACTCATGATTGGTTCCTTTGTGGCCTTCTCTGATCCCTGGAGAGGGTTGCGAGTGCCTCGTTACAGCCCAGCCAGGGGAGAAGTCTAGATTCCTCACTTAGTCTTTCCTTGTGGGGTGAGAGAGGGACACAGTTTTTTTTTTGTGGTCTTTGGCTGAAATAAAGTGGTTGTTATCTAGACATTTTCTGTCTTGCAAAGCTGTCCCTTTTCTGATCCCTTGGCTAGGGAGAGTGTTTTTTCCCCCCTTGCTTGCATCCGTTGATGTTTCTTTTTGCTGCCTTCTTCAGCTCCAAGTCTGGGAGTCTGGGATATATGAAGTTTAAAACCCAGCCAGGGAACAGACTCCTGTATCTTTCCTTAGGCCTGGAGGTGCATAGTCAGTCTGCTTTAGTTTCTTCATCTTTCACAGCTCTTTTTGTTTTGTTTTTTAATTTTTTAAACACTTTATTGTGAATTGAGTGAAGGTTTACAGAACCGATCATCAGTCCCACATTCAACAAATCTTACTCTTCATGTCGTTACAATGATTACAATCCTCTCCATGTACCATCAGTTCACAGTATTCACCTCTAGTCACTTTAACTCTTTTTTTTTCTTAAATGTTTCATTGTGAATTATGTGATAGTTTACATGGGAGAACATTAGTTTTACATTCATTCTATTGTATATCGCCTCATTGCCATGGTTACAATCCCCTCCATGCAATCCTTCCCCCGTGCCCCCCAGGTCTTCAGCACACGGTCGCTCTTCCTCTCTGGATCTAAAGTCACCAGCTGCTCCATCGCTCCAC